ACTTATAATGAGGCTGTCTTCAGAAGAATTTTTATGGTGTTTTAAATTCTAAATTTGTGGCAATGAAACTAGAATTCTTTTGTTTCTCGCGGCTGGACATCGCTTAGCATTTAGTGCCCCTCAAGGGAGGTTCCTTGACGCTGGTGAGGGGCTCTTGATCTAGGGAATTGGATCTGTGCTCCACTTCCCTGAATTGAGCCTGAATGCCTTCCATCCCCCCACATGCACTGCATAATCCTACAGGTTTACCGCTCCCCCATAATTATAATTAGCACTTACTGCTAGTTACCACTACAGGGTCCTTGCCTTCTTTGGCTAGTTAGAATGTGGCACTCAGCGTGCAAGTGGCATCCTCTTTCAGAGCCAACTGTCTTGGAGCAGCAGTAATTGTCTTCTGGGGTAGAGGATGAGCCAGATGGCACTGGCATCTGTAATAGTGATTATCAGAGGAGGAAACAACGTAACTAGGAAGCTAGGAATGCCCGTATATAGGAGAATCAAACTTGTGATGACGTTTCGGTCCGACTTGGACCATAAAACACAACCAAATCGGACCGAGTAGGAGCGAGACGTCAAATTAAACATACAAATTAAACGAGCAACATTAATTTAAAGGTGAACCAGTCAAGCAAAAAATCATGGAGAAGCTGCGAGTTCGTAACACAATCAAAGAAAACTATATAACTTAAAAACATCAGAAGTGAATAAAATACTAGAGTAAAATATCCCAAAATGAATTACAGCTCTTGTCCCTTTATCCAATGCAGTTAAATGGTCAAAATAAGTGAATATCCCGGAGACAAAAGCAGAAATTGCGGAAATAAGAAGTAAACTGATGATGGGAGTGAAAATGCTCGAAATAGTGATAATGATAATAATGGTGTAGAGACAGAACAGTGATAACGATAATGGCAGAGACAATCAGAACAGTGATACTGACGATGATAATGGTAGTAAAGACGATCAAGATAGTAATACTGACTCTGGTAATGTTATAAGAGAGCATCAAAACAGTGACAATGATGGTGAGATGGGCAGTAGAGAGCAGTAGAACAGGGATCCTGATGATAACGGCAGCAGACTCAGAAAAGTGACACTGTCCAGATATCTGTTTACACTGAAGTTCGTCATAGGTAGTGGTTATAATTTGGATGGCACTATACCAGAATATCTGTCAATACCAATATGGATATGGCTGACCTTGCTCTGGTTTTGCACAAGTATCTCGCCCTGGGATTGAAATGTGAGGATATCTTAGGAAATAGTCAAGTGAAAAAAAAACATACCACGGGTGGGGTTTGAACTCGCGATCAGTCTCTCAATACCCCAGACCGTTGCGTTTGCTACTGGTCCAGTGGCTAACGCGACGGTCTGGACTTTCGAGACTCTCTGATCGCGGGTTCTAACCTCACCCGTGGTATGGTTTGTTTGCAATCGTGTCATTACGATTTCGTGAGTCATGGTCAAATGGGAGCGTTTCTGAAGTTGCTGGCTATGAGACTGATAAGTCATTGTGATTATTGTGTGTTAGGGAAGGGGGCCATGTTGATTCTTGTCATCAAATGTAATAGGGGTACAAATTACAAATGTAATTATGTATGAGTCGTGTTATAGTGATTAAGTAGTTATATTTATTTATCTATGGATTGTGGGATAATGTAGAGGAAGTAACTTAATGTACCTATTAACTACTATAGACTACAAACTATTGGGTTTATGCTAAACAAGTGTGTGTGTGAATTTTCATTTTCCCCAAATTAATTAACTGGAGTATTTATGCTGGCAGTCATATATATTAATTCTTATAATAGCATTGTGGCAGTATCATTTGATCATTATTGACAGTAGTCGTTATTTATTTATCATTATAATATGTGGCCTTAAAAATTATTGACATATAATGCTTTCTCCATTTCCCTCTTCATTCCTCTACCCCTTATCCCTGTTATTATTGTATGTGGTGATTTATTTAGCATGACTCATTCCTCATTAATGAGTAGTAATTGAGTAATTATTTGAATATATATATAATATTATATATATATAAAATATAATATTATATATATATATTATATATATATATATATATTTTCAACAAAGTCGGGGGGGCCGTTCTCCCACCGAGGCAGGGTGACCCACAAAAGAAAGAAAAAACCCCCAAAAAGAAAATACTTTCAAACATCATTCAACACTTTCCCACACTCGCACATATCACTGTTTTTTTCAGAGGTGCTCAGAATACAACAGTTTTAGAAGCATATACGTATAAAGATACACAACATATTCCTCCAAACTGCCAATATCCCAACCCCTCCTTTAAAGTATATATATATATATATATATATATATATATATATATATATATATATATATATATATATATATATATATATATATACTAAAGTATACTAAACATTTCACATTTCATTCCCGACTGAAATTGAGTCATTTATCATCTCTCTGGCTCATTGTTGACATTATTTGCATTATTTGAGTAATTATAATCCTTTAAACTTTTTAACCTCGACAATAATGACAATAGAGACTATCAGAATAATGATACTGACGATGATAATAGCAGTGGAGATCATCAGAATAATGATACTGACGATGATAATAGCAGTGGAGATCATCAGAATAATGATACGGGACGATGATAATAGCAGTGGAGATCATCAGAATAATGATACTGACGATGATAATAGCAGTGAAGATCATCAGAATAATGATACTGACGATGATAATAGCAGTGGAGATCATCAGAATAATGATACTGACGATGATACTGAGAGGAGAGACTATCAGAATAGTAATAGTTAGAGCAGCTAAACTGATCATAAAATAGCTAAGAAACACTAAGGAAATACTGACGTAGAGTGAAGGAACTCTACACGAGGCAGAACAAGCTTTTATCCTCACATTTCACTATAGAATAGTGATTCTCAACCTGGAGTTGAGAATCACTATCCTAGGCTATCCCACACTATCGTAGGCTATCCCAGCCTATTTTACGCTATCCTAGCCTATCCCAGCCTATCTTACACTATCCTAGCCTATCCCACACTATCCTAGGATATCCCACAATATCCTAGGCTATCCCAGCTTTTTTTACACTATCCTAGCCTATCCCACACTATCCTAAGCTACTCAACACTATCCTAGGCTATCACAGCCTATCTTACACTATCCTAAGCCATCCCACACTATCCTAGGCTATCCCAGCCTGTAAAAAATTACATGTCAAGGGGTGAATATGTGATATACCTGATAATATGTAATTATTTCTTTAAAAAAGAATGTTACATTTTTATTGATAGTGATACGAATGTATATTTTTATTGATAGTGATACGAATGTATATTTTTATTGATAGTGATACGAATGTATATTTTTATTGATAGTGACACGAATGTATATTGTAATTTTTGTGCAAAACTTGAATAATTCATTTTTTTTGACCTTGTTTTTCTGTCCTTTTATGACGGCGATAAATTTTTGTATGGATATAAAGGGGTTAATGGGGGAAGAATTGCATCAAGCCGATGGAGTGTTAATGGTGGAGGAAAAGTTGAGAATCCCGTGTAAAAGTTTGTCGTATTGCCGGTAGTACGTCGCTGAGACTCACCATTAATCCTGCCTGGGTTTTGTTCCAAGGGACCGGAGTTGTCCTCCCGTTCCATGAGGCAAATTTGAACGCCTTCCATTCCCCAGGTGCTATGTGACCCCTACGGATTTAACGCTTCCCCCACCGATCAAAATATTTCTTACATAATTTGGATAAACCATAACGAAATAAATACACACAGTGACCTACTCTGGTCAAAAGATTACCAGAAAATCAAATAAACAACAGTTTATTATTATTGTTGGGTAAATGGGTAACAGATGCACCTAATGTGACATTCATATTTTGTCGATTATTCTACTGTGGGTTAGAGAAGGACCCGCCTAGTATGGGCCAGTACGCCTGCTGCAGTGTTCCTCCCTTCTTATGTTCTTATCATTACTATATTATTATTGTTGTTATATTAGAAACGAGTGTTAAACCCACATGGAACACAGAGCAATAGCTTGAACCAGTAATATTGCAGTATGCGGGAGAGAAGGTACTCAGATGGGTCAGAGGTAAGTGGTATTCCAGTGGTATTGCGGTGGCATCTTAAGAATTGGAGGTATCCTCTTCTTACCTGGATGAAGCCTGATCACCTTCCATTTCCCAGGCGCTATGTGACTCTTACGGGTTTAGTGTATGACATCACAACACCGTCCCCATCCCAGGCTCGTGACACAGGCCACCGGCACTGTTTCTTTTGTGGAAAAAGACGCTTATATACAGTTTAAGACATTTAATAGAGGGGACATTTCGCCACTAGTGGTTTCTTCAGTCCTAAGTCACTCGTGGCGAAACGTTTTCTCTAATATATGTCCTGAACTATACATGTCTTTTTCCACATTTTGTCTGTAGCACCAGACTATTTTCACTTTATCTTATTTTAGGTCTTGTGAAGGCTGGCGAGAGGAAGAGAGATGGAGTAAACAGGAAGAGAGAGACATGAGAGGTTAAATGGCCTGAATGTAGATAAATTAGCTTAGAGAGCCAACAAGATGATCAATTAGATACATGTGCAACAGTTGGGTATCTTTCTCAGTAAAGATACTCAAGTGTTGCACATGTCTAATTTATTAGACACATGTGTAACATGTCTAATTTTAACCTATCTAATTCAAACCCGAATCGTAATAACACATATACAAACAAAATAACACGATTGCAAACAAACCATTTGGCCTAGTGGTTAACGCACTGGCTTGCGAGTTTTAGGACTTGCTTGCCATGGGTTGAAATCCCACCCGTTCCCTGATTCTGAGCGTCTCTTGTCACACATTGACGAGTATTGGGTTATTCTGGCACTGCTTGTGCCTTCAGGAAAACCATAACACCGGTTAACAATACCCGACGTAGAATACCTAATTACAGACGATACGACGTAGGTACTCACCTGGTAGCCAGGTCCCGGTGAGTTATATTATGAGCCTCCAGGTACTTCATGCCCGACGCTAGCTGGGTGGCCATGTAGATGAGTGAGCCATAGCTACGGAGAGAAGACAAGGTAACTTGAGTACAAGAACTGAGTACTAGTAGCTAAGTACTAACTGTTTAGCAGAATGTGTGCTTTATGAGGTACTAGGAACTGAGTATTTAGTACCCTGATTAGGAAGCTATTAGCTAATGTGTCGTTGAATGTGGATGATGATAGTCACATAACATTAGAACATTCTGCTGATCTCATAATATATGTGGTTGACTCACCTGATGGGACGCATGTGGTTGAGTCTGGGGGTGGTGGTGTCGGGCACATGACGACGTAGGTACTGGTTGAGGTCTCCCAAGGGTAGGTACTCCAGCACTAGCACGAGTGGTGCGTCCCTGCTCACAACACCTACCAGGCTGGCCAAGTTGGGATCAGAGAGCGTGGCCAGCAGCTGGGCCTGGCACCATGCCTCCTCCCGCACCTGGTATGGACGTCGGCGTCAGGACGTGGATGTAGAGGAGTTGGTGTAGGCGTGGTGCAGTGGGAGTGGGCGTAGCGGGAGGTGATTGGTTAAGGATAGGGGGAATGGTAGAATAGCGACAAAGAGGAAGGAGAGAGAGAGAGAGAGAGAGAGAGAGAGAGAGAGAGAGAGAGAGAGATAATATTAAGCTCCTGAAACATTTACACTCATTCGTAAGCATTAAAGAAACCCCCAAAAAATATATCTGTGAAAAATAGAAACACTCTGCCGAGCTGACAAGACTGATGAGCACAAGAACTCCAGCACCGACACCAATACAACAACAAAATATTGGTGGGAATCTGGTCACGCTAAAACTTTTCACATAACTTGGACCCATAACTTTGTAAATTCCAAAACGACTCCTCCTGACACCATTGTGACGAGAGTCTCTTCATGTGGCAATACCCCGGGTGTCAACAACACCAGTGAAGTATCCGACACCCACAAGAGAACCCAGATACCTTCACTCACTGACATATTAAGATTACGTCACCCCCTGAGGTAACAACTGCACTGTATAACAAATATACGTCGTAATCTGTGTTCCTGCTCATAAGTACTCAAAATGAAGCATAATAAAATAAGGGAAATTAATTTTAAATAACGAAATTTCCATTTATACAAGATAAAGTTGATAAAGTAATGGAACTAGTGATCATCTTACAGTTATATTAGTCTGCCAGAGCATCCATTAACATCACAGCATAATCAACAAAACTGGTGACTTTAAACACATTTTCGTAAAGACTCATAGTTGTCGTCCTGGAAACTCTCATGGTCACCAAGACTCTTAAGATTGCTGGTTTCATCTCATAGAATAAGAGAGAGAGGCAGAATAAAGGAGAAGGTGTTGCTAAGTATTTACCCCTACGTCTCTATAAGCACTTTCCTTTGGTGTTGTCATTACTTTCACCAGAAAATAATAATCGGTCTGTACATAAACCCAAGAACTACCGTATTAGTGTATGTGTGTAACATATGGATGTATTTGACAAGGTGTGCTTCCAAACAAATTCTTGAAGAACAAACAGACAAGACTGGATTTTATTGATAGAGGAACGTCACACATAAGTGAGTAGGCTCAACAAGTGTCTCACAGACAAAAACCCTGTTAACCTCCTGGTAATTTCGGTTCTCAACCTTTTTCGCCCACATTTGCACCTCCTCCCTCGACTGTCATCAGACTGGCAGGTCTGAATAAACAGGTACATGTATACTTCTTGGATATCTCTGCTAACCAGCCCACTAGGCCCTGTCCCCCTTTCAGTCAGCATTTTAAAAGACATCGAGAGGAAAAAACCAAACTCTCCCCAGCCTGATTGGGGGAAAAAAAAAACGGGCCAGCATGCTGGGCCACACACACCCGGATTCTTTGGAAAAGGAGACAGTTTTGCGGGTACAAAACTGTTCCCGTACTTTTTGGTCAGTTTTGATAGTCAAAACCCAAAATATGAGAGAGATAATTATAACAAAAAGCAAATAAAAGACAAAAGGGAAAAAACCATGGACAAAAAATAGATAAACATAAAATTAGATAGAAAAAAAACAAAGGGGGTTGTAAAGGAATAGAAAAGGAGAAACATAAAAATGCCCGTAGAAAAAAGATACAAAAATTTTAGTGAAAGGGAAAGAACAAGTTTTAAAAAAATGAGATTATTCAAGTGAGCAAGAAAAATAAAGATTTTTTGTTACAAAAACAAATTTGAATAATTAGGGAAATTTAAAAAAAGAAAAAATTTTTAATGATAAAGAATAAAAAAATTTTAAGAATAATGGAATAAACATAAAGGGGAAAGAAAAAGGGAGAATGGACACGAACGAAAAATTTTTCTAGTCACAGGGGAAAAAAAAATTAGGGAAAAAACATTAAAAAACATTAATAAATTTAAATAGAATTTTTAACTTTAAAACCAGAAAACAAAAATTAATTTCCTACCCGGGGGAGTTTTGGAAATAGCTCGATTATAGTTTAATTTTACAAATTTTTTACCAAGCAGAGTTATATTCGTGTAAAAAATTTAAAGAGATTATTAAACCAGTCATTTTTACCTACTGGTACCCCAATCATAAAACCCCCTCATACACACACCCCTCTCATACCACACCCCCCATACCAAAAACCCCCCCTTCTCATACACCCCCCCCCTCATACAAAACCCCGTAACATACCCCACCCCCCTCTCAAAACACAAAACCCCTCAACACACACCCCTCTCATACAACACCCCTCTCTAAAACAACCCCTAAATACACCCCCCCCTCATACACACACCCCTCTCATACACCCCACCTCTCAAAACACACCCCCCCTCATAACACACCCCTCTCATACACCCCCCCCCCTCATACACACCCCCCTCATACACACACCCTCTCATACCACCCCCTCTCACACACCCCCTCATACACACACCCCCTCCCCTACACACAACCCTCATACAAAACCCCCCTTTTTTTCACACACCCCTCTCAACACAAAACCCTCTCAAACCCCCCCTTTTCAAAACACGCCTTTTCCACACACCCCCCTTCTCTTTTACACAAAACCCCTCTCATACAAAAACCCCCCTCTCATACACACCCCTTTTCCATCACACACCCTCTCATCCCAAAACACCCCTCTCAAAAACCCCCCCCCCTCTCATACAAACACCCCCTCTGGGACCCCCAACCCTCTCTTACCCCACCCCCTCTCTTACACAAAACCCCTCACATACCCCACCCCTCTCGTACCACACCCCCCCTCATACACCCCACCCTCTCATACCACAAAACCCTCCCATACCACCCCCCACTCATACACACCCCCTCTCGTACCCACCCCCTCAAATCCCAACACCCCCTACCCTTAAAACCCCTTTTCATACACACCCCCCACCCATAGGGCACACCCCTCTCATACAAAACCCCCCTTCATACACCACCCCCTCGTACACACCCCCCTTTAATACCCCACCCCCCTTCTCATCAAAAACCCCCCCTCCATACACACACCCCTCTAAAACCCACACACCCTCTCAAACAAAACCCCCCCTCTCTTTACCCCACACCCCCCTAATAGGGCCACACCCCTCTCATACACATAACCCTCTCTACACACCCCCCTCTTTTCACGCACTCCTCCATACACACCCCTCTCAACAAAAAAACCCCCTCTAAATTCCACGCCTTCTTACACACCACCCCTCCATACACCTTTTCCCCCTCATCCCAACCCCACCCCTTCTCATCCCACACACCCCTTCATACACAAAACACCTCTCATACACAAAACCCCCACTCAACACATAACCCTCTCATACACACACCCCTCTCATCCCACGCACTCCTTTTCTTACACACCCCTCTCAAAACACACACCCCTTTTCATACCGCCTTCATAAAACACACCCCCTCATACAAAAACCCCCTATAAAACCCACCCAAAACCTTTTTTTACACCCCCCCTCCATACACAAAAACCCCCTCTCATTTACACACACCCCTCTAAAACACACCCCCTTCATACACCCCCCCCCCCTTTTTACCGCACCCCTTTTCTTTACCAACACCCCTTTTATCCCACACCCCCTCTCATCCCACGCCTTTTCTTACACACCCCCCCTTCATACCCACATCCCTCTAATACACCCCACCCCTCTCATCCCTAAACCCCCCTCTCATACACAAAACCCCCTCTCAAAATACACACCCCACTCATACCCCAAAACCCCTCTCAAAACCACCCCCCTCTCATACAGCACTCCTCTCTTTCACACCCCTCCAAAACACACCCCTCTCTTTCACCCCTTCTTTACACCCCCCCTCTCATACCCCACATCCCTCTCATCACACACCTTTCTCAAAACCCCCTCTCATACACCCCCCTTTCTATAACACCCCCATCATACCAAAAACCCCCTCTCAAAACCCCCCACGCCCCCTCATACACGCACTCCCTCAAAAAACCCCCTCTTTTAAAAAACAAACCCCCCTCTCAACACGCCTTTTTTTTCCACCCCCCCTTTTTTCCTACACACATCCCTCCTTTAAAACACACCCCTCTCATACCACACACCTCTTAAAACCCCCCTCTCATACACAAACCCCTCATACACAAAACCCCCTCTCAAACAAAACCCCCTCCAACCACACCCCCCCAATACACAAAACCCCTTCATAACATACCCCCCTCTTTAAACACCCCCACTCCATACACAAAACCCCCCTCTTAACACCCCCTTCTTTACACCCCCCCCCCCTCTCATACACACCCCCCTCTCATACACAAACCCCTTTTCATTTTCACCCCCTCTCTTTACACACCCCCCCTCAAAAACACCCCTCTCATACACACCCACTCTCATACCCAAAACCCCTCTCATTTTACACACCCCTCCCCACCAAACACCCCTCTCATAAAACCCCCTCTCACACAAAACCTTCATACACATTCCCTCTCATACACACACCCCCTCATACACACCTTTTCCAACACACCCACGCCCTTCACACACACACACCCCTCTCATACACACCCCCCTTTTTAAACACAAACCCTATTCAACACACACCCCCTCTATACACACACCCCTCCCCATACCCCAAACCCCCTCTCTTTATAAAATTACCTCTCTTACACACACCCTCTCATACACACACCCCTCTCATACACCCCACCCCCTTCATACACAAAACCCCTTCAACACACACCCCCCCCAACCCACACCTTTTTCTCTTTACACACACCACCCCTTCTCATACCCCAACACCTCTCTCAACAACCCCCTATCTTTTACACACACCCCTCTCATAAAAAAACCCCCTTCATATCACACACCCTCAAAACCCACACCCTCTCATACACACCCCCCTTCATACACACATCCCTCTCTCACAAACCCTTTTTTAAATACACACCCCCCCTTACCCCACCACACCCCCTCTCCCCACACACAACCTTTTTTTTCCCCCCTTCT